AGCGAGAGAGAGAGAGAGAGGAGTATTGTGATTAGAGAAGAGAGAGAGGGGAGGGGAGGGTTTAAAAGGAGAGGCGGAGGGAGGAGGATTACAAGAACTGAAGAACGAAGAAAAAGGGTATTGTTTGTCGTTGGAATGATAAGGAAGAACAGACTGTCAGAGCCGTTTGCCAGCTGTCATACCACTTTGTTTGTGGGCCCTACCATTTCTCTCAATCTCATCCATCCCGGCCGGCCCGGCCCACTCTGCCTTCCTTTTGACAACGTTATTCTCCATCTCGATTTCTCAAACGCCGGCAAACCCTTACTCATTAACTTTATTAATTAACTTTCGGTTTTTATTTTTTTTATTTTAATACAACAAACTTAGGTACGAAGGTTGGAACATCACAAGAGTAGATATAAATTACGGTCGGACAATATTAATTATTAATTAATTTTCATTATTCCTACTCTTTACAATTATCAAATAATTTTTTTCTGGATCGAACTACAAAATTTTCGGATTATTCTCCAATAATTTTTTTCTATTAATAGCACTATCAATAATTATAGCGTTCCTAAATCCTAAATAATAATCATCATTTCTATTCCATTTACTTGTAGGCGTAGAAATGGAATATCTCAACTAAACAACATTCTGTATCACAAAGTTGTTTTACCTATGACCCCCATATTTAAAAGAAAAGCAGTAATCATTTAATTTGTCCTTTTCCAATTAAATAAACAAATATTTATATACTAAAAAACCTATATGCCAGTCCACTTGAGTATAGTTTCATTTTTTTCTTTTTATAAAATTAAGCATACTTTAACTTTGAAATATTAATAATTTTCGTATAATTTATTGCTTCGAAGCTTAAACTCTTAATACTAAAAATAAATAAAAGTGTCTATCATATTTGAAAATTAATAACTTAATATTTATGCTCAATGTAATTTTAATGATAATAGTAAAATTGATTTTTTCTAAAAGTCTAATAACCAATACAAAATTATATTTCAAAATCTAAAGATTAAAACAAAATAATTGTAAAGGTAAATCTACTATAAGTATTAAAAAATATATATATATAATAAAGTAAATATATTATTATTTTAAATAAAATTGATTAATAAATAATAACAAAATACAATTTCTCTGTTTTATAGCGCTTGAAAATTATTCTTGTTATATGTTTCGTTAAAATTTAATTTTTTTGGTATATAGTTAAAATTAGAAAATTGTTTGAAAGATTTTCTCTCCATAAAACTCATTAATCTCAAGTCGAGAAATAAAAGAAAGACAAAAATGGTTTTAATCTTTTTATATAATTAAAATTAGAAAATTGGTTGAAAGATTCTCCCATCCCTCTTGAGTAGAGAATTTCAATACCGAAAAATAAAATGAAGATAAAAGATTAAAAGTTTGTCATTAAAATTCGGTATATGTTTTAAATAGTTGAGTCATGCTACATGTTAAATTGATATGCGTATATATGTCTGTGGTGAGTATCATTTTATCTTATTATACATATTTTATGTTATCCGAAAATATTGAATTTGAGAAATTAATGAAATATATGATTAATAAATTTTCATCTAAAATCAACATCAAGAAAGTTGTAGCACTGACATTCCATTTATTGTTGGGCTAAATTATACCAAATGGTCCTTGATTTGTATACATGGTGCTAATTTTTTCCTTAATTTTTTGAAAGATTTAATTTTGTCATAAAATTTTAAATTTGTTAATAGATTCTTATTGCATTTTATTATCATAAATAAACCATTCATTCCAGTATGGTTGAATTCTATACAATAACTTGGTGACTCGAAGCACATCTTTTGTTATTTCCATACTACTAGTTGAAGTGATTGTTATGACTATGAAGAAATCCATTTTTCTTTGCTCTTCCAAAACTTGTAAAAAAAGTGAGTGAACTAGAATATATAAGAGAGACTTTTTTCTCGGACGAGCTTTCTCTCGTAAAGATAAAGTATATAGATTAAAACTTCTAAAATATTATGGGTAAAATTGAGCCAAGTAGGTATATCAATTAAAAGTTATAGTGATAACCCTAAAGTATATAGTTGATTTTAGTTTGCCAATGTTTATGCAAGGATATGCACAACAGTATATTTCTGATTGCAGCTCGAACTCGGCCTCCGGACCGTTCTGGATACTTGGGCGGACCTGCACAAAAAGGTGAGCACTCCGACGATCGAGTCAGTACAGGTCGGACTCCTAGTTTAGTTCGAGGTCAGAAATCATCGTACCTGATCGTGGAGTGAGGTCCTCTACTTATGGGTGGTAGTCCCG